CCTGCCAGGGCATCGCACAGCTGCCTCTCAAGCCTGGAGCAGACTCATGCCAAGCCAGGCCCCACCGAGCACACTTCTTTGCACCCTCCACCCAGCAGCCAGGGACCTTTGGGGCTGGAGGGGGGCCCTGCATGCCCCACTGTGCTCCCTGCAGCCAGGGGCAAATCAGGCTCAGCCAGGCCCAGTCTGCAGCAGTCTTCCCCTTACTGGGCCCCATGACCAGGGGTCCTGATCCTCATTGCCTCTGATACGTGGCCCCACCAGGTCAGTGGGGAGCAGAGCAGAGCAGCAGCTGTTCCACGGGGCAGTGTCAGGGTGGGGAGACCGCCTTTCTCTGGCTCAGGGAATGGGTCCCAGGAAGGGCTGAACACCCATCAGGAGCAGCAGCCAGTTGCCCGCTGGGCACTGCCCCAGCACCAGCTCAGCTCCTAGCATGGATTGGTGATGGCTGCAGCCAGATCCAGCCTGGAGACAGATCCCCTAACCTGTCTTTGTGTAATCTTTCAGCAGGCCCGTCACACAGCAGAGCCGGGCAGATGATCAGGGCTCCCAGCAGGGGAGGAGGAGCAGGAGAGAGGGCTGCTAATCAGAACCAGGCCACCCCCAAACCAGTGAGGCTGAGGCTGGCTGGGGCATCACCAGGGATGAGACCTGATTGCTGAGGTCACCTGCTCATGGCAAAGTGGCCCTGTGGTCACCAGGGGTGTCAGGACCTCAGCTTCAGGAGTGGGATTCAGCTGCAGAGGAAAGGCTTACTGGGGAAGGCTGCTGCAATAAGGCAGCCGGTCCTGCCATCTGTGATGTCTGGGACAGTGCGGAGTCCCTCGCTGCAAAGCTGCAAGCTCCGCATGCAGCCCGGGGTTTGCTGAGGGGACGTTGCCACCTCTCGACAGCTGGACTGTTCTGCCCTGGACCAGGCGAGCAGACCAAGGCCAAGGCACCTGCCCCCAGCTGTTGCGGGGTGGGAGACAGGAAAGCGGTGACCGTCCCACCCAGCAGAATTGGTCTATCTGAGCATCCCCCTGCTCCTGGCCTCCTACCCCTCCACCAAGCTGGGACCCTCTCCACAGCCCTGCTAGAGACTGTGGAGGCTTTTCCAACCTCACATGTCTACCTTACTTGAAACCTTGGCATCCTCTGGCAGGCCAAGCTTCCTCCAGGCCCCTGCAGTCTGCAGAGGCCTGGGGTGGGGCTCTCTCCTCTTCCCCCTCCCAGGGGCTGGGCCCGGCGGGGACACACCGGTCTGGCAGGCCCTGAGAGGGCTGGGCCGGGGCATTGGCGAAGAGATCTCATCACTCCCCACGCATTTGCCCGGAGACGAGAGTGTCAGGAACCACCCCCTCTGCCTGGGCGTATCTTCCAACAGCTAGTGCATGCCCGAGCTATGCATAGCATCCGCTGTGGGGGAGGCTGAGGGGAAGCGGAGGCACAAGGCAATCCCAATGCCATCCCCTGCCCCCCAAAAGTCAGGGTTAGCCATGCCAAGGCCCCAGAGCACTTTGCAAAGTGCCATTGGGCACATTATACCGATGGGGAAACTGAGGCTTGGAGCTGGAGCTGGAGCTGGAGCTAGAGCTGGGAGCCAGGTCGCTCCTGAGCCTCATGTCCCTCTGGCCCCACTGCCTCAGCATCATAGGCTCACAGGGCAGCTGGGCTGGCAGGGCCTTCGGGAGGTCATATTTGGTCCAGCCCCTGCCCCAGGCATCAGCATCCCTGACGGAGCCAGCCTGTGGAGCCTCCCTCATTGCCCCAGGCTGGGGGGAGCTCCCAGCCAGGTCCCCACGGCAGCCCTGCTCAAATAGGACCTGCTTAGTGCAGACAGGCAGCTGCTGTGCCGGGAGTTTGGAAGAGAAGCCCAGCTCCTGCCAGGAGCGCCTTGTCCTCAACATTGTTAAATAAACCTACTGTATAAATACAGATTAAAATAAATCTTCACAAGCTAAACAAAGTAAAACCCCCGCCTCGCACACGGCCGTCTGCCCCCTGTTTATGCTAACCCAGCTTCAGCCTGCAGTGCCTGTCTCCCCCCAGGGAGAATGTGCCATGAGGCTCAATGGAGCCTGGCACAGGCATGGGGGAGGCCCTGAAACCCCTCTTCTTGGGCAGGTACTTTGATCTGAGCTGGGAGAAGTGCCCTGAGATTGCCCCAGAGATGCACAGCTCAACCATCAGGACTCCCATGAGGCGCCAGCTGCCTCTAGCCAGAGAATCTCCATCCCCGTGCACATGCAAAGCCACTTTGTTCTGCTCCGTCCTCCAAGCTATAAAAATAGGCTGCATTAAGTCAGATTTCCTAACCAGAAGGTCTTCATTTGATCCTATATTCCAGTGCCAAAGTTCTGCAAGCTTCTTAAATCATAAACTTCAGCAGTGAATATATATATATATAAAAGAATCTGGCAATGGGTTTCTCTGCAGCATTGCTGAGGTCTGCGTCTCTCCGCCGGCTTCTGTGCCACGGATCTGCCCAGTCTCTGGGATCTGCCCAGCCTCTGCTAGCCGGGGGTGCATCTCAACCCCCTCTCTGCCTGTGGGGCATCTGTCATCCCTCGCACTATCCAGCAGGGCTGAGGCCCTGTGGGGCTTGTATGTCATCCTTGCTCTGAGCCGCCTCCTGGTTCTCCACTTGAGGGTCCAATGCCTAATGGTATCACAGAGAGGGAGACCCTTGGGGGAGCTGGCCTTAGCCCTTAACTCCGTGACCTTTGGCAAATCTCTTTGTCTCCTCTGTGAACTGGAGACCCTGGACCCATCTCTCCTTTCGTATGGGCTATTTAGGCCAGAGGCTCCTTGAGGCAGGAGCTGCCTCTCACCATGTGCCTGGTTATGTTTGTCAGGGACACTCCTCCTTGTGAGACCCCAGTGCTTTGACTCCCCCCGCGGGGCAGAAGAGTACCTGGGGGGCTTGCCTGCGTCAAGAAAGAGCTGAGTGACCGGGGCCGTGCTCGTACCATAAGCTCTATCCACTATCGTGAGACAGGTAGCAGGCTTCCAGCATGCAGCACAAGTGGAGGAGGCAGCTGAGGGAGCAGAGAGGGGCTTGCCGGTGCGATGCCAGGTCCTTGGGAAGCTCTTGCAGCCCTAGATGCTCCATTCAGCCCTGGGGAACATGCAGCAGAGCCCCTGACCCTGAACACCAGCCAGAGGGGCAGAGCCTCTTGCTGGCCTTGCCCCTGGGAGAACAGGAAAGGGAGAATCACAGTTTCCCTCTGACTAACTGCCCTGCCAGCCCAGCTGCTCCGGGCCTGGCATGCACCTGCTTAGCCAAACCCATGAGAGCGCTGCAGCTTCCATGCACGCTTGCACCCCAGCACAAGCTCGCCCCTCTCGTGCCTGCCTGCAGCTGCAGCCCCAGCTCCGAGACACCCATGCAAGCCAGCCACAGTGCACTGGTCCCTGCGCCAGCCAGGCGTGGGCTCTGAGGGCAGCCTGCAGCCCACAGTTGCATGCAAAGGCAGCATCTGCTAAACATAAGCTCCCTAAAAGGATTCCCGGTGCGTTCACTCTCCAGCCAAAATGTCAGGCAGCCAGAGAAGGCCGAGCCCTGCCCAGCACTGCATTCCAGCACTGGGCCAGGCACGCGGGGAAAGGCACAGAGCCCTGGGCTGGGGGGGCCAGGCAGGCAGCGGATGCACCTGCAGCTCCCCTGACAGGAGTTACAGCAGAGCTGTGGGCTGGGAGCACGGAAAGCCTGCATTCGTCTTTCTGTCCATCCCCAAGGCCAGACTCTAAATGCCTCCCAAAAAAGAAGAAAACCTTTCAGCATTCAAGTGAGAGGTCAGCAGGGGCCTTGCGCGTGCCCTGCCTTCGGGCCAGCTCCCTACAGCCCATGTGTGGAGCACAGCTGAGCCATCCACCTGCTGAGCTCTCTCCGAGCCATTGCTGCCCATCACAGCCCCTGGCAGGACCCATCTCGGTTGCTGCAGGACACTGATGCACTGTGGAGCAAGCTCTGGGCAAGAGGCATCTCAAATTTGCAGGTCCTTGAGCCACCACGGGCAGGTCTCAGCAACACTCTGCACCCTGGAGCATGGGGGTGAGAGGCTGCCCCGTGCCCCCCAAGCATGCCACATCACCTCCATGGGCTCCTGCTACTTACTGTGAACCGTCTCTGTTGCCATAGCATGCAACCAGAATCCCACGCGGAGTCTCCTGAGGCACTGCTGTGTCCAGGGTGGTGCCAAGGCATCCATGCCTCAAGGGGCTGGACACCCCAGAGATGGAGGTGACAGATCCCCAAAGCCCCAGCATTGAGGGTCATGCCCCCCACGTAGAGGTGGGAGGCACCTACTGCCCTTCACACCCCAGGTGCTCCCCATGGATGGGACTGATACCAGGGGAGGTCCCGCACCCTGTTCTCCCACTGCCCCAGTGCAATGCTACCCTTGGGGAACTTCCCCTACACATCTCCACGGGGTGCAGACTTGGGTGCCTCTTGGTCACCCTTAACCATCTCCCCACTGACTGCCCAGTGAGACCCACCCCGGACACTCGCCCAGCGCCCTGCTGGGTCCTGCCGTGTTCCCCCCTCTCATCCCCGTGCCAACAGGCTGAATGACACTCAGCCACAGAGATGCAAAGAGCTGACTCCTCAGTTCACTCTTCTCCCAGAGGTTCAGCTCACCCAGATGTTTGCTCCTCTCTCTGCAGCTCAGGACGGGTGGGCCTGGCCAGGGCAGGGCAGCCAGTCCCCGAGTCCCGAGCTGCAGCTGCTGTGGTCTGGTAACAGCCCTATACTTCAATCAGCATTTCTAAGTGTTTCTCCTTGTGCCCCCCACAGTTCAAATGCAAACACAATGCACGCCCCCTTCTTACCCCTTCCCCAGAGCACGGCTGACAGGGGAGGAGAGGAGATCTCTCCAGATTTTGCTGTAATTTCGCACAGCTCTCACTGTCTGAGCTCGTTATCCCTGTTGCGCACCAAGCCAGGAGCTGACAAGGCTCACGCTCCTCTCCAGCCGCCTGCCTCGCAAAAGCCCCATCATTGCAAAGGCACTTACCTCAGAGCTGTCAGTCCCCCCCGACGGCTGGAGAGGCTCTGTGAATAGCCCACTCCAGGCGCAGCCACCCAAGTGCCTTGCTTCTTCCACGTGCCCGTCTGTCAGAAGGAAAACCCTCACGGCCACTTTGGGGAGATGCCAGGGGCTGCAGGCCTGGCTGCAAGAGCAGGTCCCAAGACCTTCCTGAACAGTGCGGAGGGGACCCGGCCCTTCTGGGGTGTGCAGGGTTTCAGCTTGTAAAGATTGCCCGGGCGAGTTCACACTCCAGCAGCCCACACTGTTCCCGACGTATGCAAAGCACCACGCAGGAGATCATATCTGAGCTGTCTGCACATTAGTAACTCCCGGGCTCCGGGCTGCAGACTCCATCCCCTTTCGTGGAGCAGAGGCTTTTTTTTATTATTATTATTCCCAGAGTATCCCGCTTTGTAAAGGCATCCAGTGCACACTCCAGCATGAGGGAATTCCACCCTGCTAGTACCACCTCCTAAGACAATATCCAGCCAAAATATTGTGGCTGTTGCAAAACCCGGACTGGAGCTCGCCACAGGACCTTCGACGTTACATCCAGAGCCGGCAGGACCCAGCGAGCCTCTGCAGAGTGACACAACGTTCGGCGCTCTTTGCAGTCAGCGTTATTTATGTGACCACTCATTTTGCACGACTCCTGACATTTCAGTGGTGACCAGCATATGAAGTCATCAGCAATCACAACCACCTCTGTTAATAAACATGTCAGGCATCAAGAGCAGTTTAGGATCCCCCCACAGAGGGGAGAGGTCTTGGGCGCTGGTTATTTTTCAGGCCGTGACTGTGCAGGCGTGGGAAGCGTCGGGACTTAGGCCCTTCAGCAAAGGTCTCCCTAGGAAGGCGGCCTGGCTGTGGCTTGGAGCTGTGCTTTCCCACCTGCAGCTCCCCTGCCTCTTCATCCCTTTCAGCTGCCGTCCAACCTTTGTTACCCCTCACTGTCGTCGACAGGTAGAGAGAACAAGTGACTGAGTGAGCTCAGAGCTCCCCATACATTTACCCACCACTGATCCATGCCTGACCTAATAGCCTGATACGGCCATCAGCAAAGCCAGGGGAGGAACACCACAGGCTCCCCTGACCATTGGGTCACACCAAGGGCTGCCACGGAGCTGCATCGGTGTGGCCCAGTGCCATGCCAGCCTGCGGCAATCCAGCGGGCTCTGCAGGTTAGGCCTGCTTCGCCTGGGGGCGAGTGCCCGGCAAGGCTACATAGGCAGGAAGCTCTGGCAATTTGTACTGATTAAAATGCTCATGGAGGATATTATACTGGCTCCCTGGCCAGGCTCCAAATTGGGCAATCACATGCTGCTTACCGTGCAGCCCAGGCGCTAGTGCTGCAGCCAGCCCGTGCTCTCTCTCCCAGTCTGGGCAGAGAGCAGCATGGCTGCACCTGCTCCTGGGCACGTTCCAGGAAGGGGCAGAGCACCCAATTGCACCCGGATGTGTTGTGGGCATGGAGCCCAGCCACCCCTCGGGATGCAGCCCCTCAGCACTGGGACACATCAGTGGCATGGCATGGGGAGGAAGCCAGGAATGCCTCTGTGCTAAAGAGCATGGCACCAGCCTGGCCTGGCAAAGCCAGGGGTGTGTAAAGGCATCCCCGTGGAGCTGCTTGAGAGGGACACAGTGTCCCCAGGAAGCCAGCAGCGAGGGAGCCCTGCAGCCAGGAGAGCCAGCTCCTGGAGCTGCCCGTCCCTCTCAGAGCAAGGCCTCGGCAGCTCCAGGGCTGGTGGCAGGGGGTTAAATCACCCCGGCCAGTCCCGGTGCTGCCGTTCCTAAATTATACACAGTTATAAACACGGAGTAGTGTTTATCTGTTTCCACAGCAATGGCTCATGGTGGTACGGGAGGCAGCAGTGGACGCCCAGTGCTGCCACGCTCCTGCTTCCCCGCCGCGTGGGCGCACAAAGCACCACTGAGATGCCCCTCTTGACCTGCCATGGCCAGGGTGGTCCAGAGCCCGGGATGGCTGCACTGGCTGATGTGAAGGCAGAGAGCCTGGGAGCTGCCATGTTGCGAGGCACAGAGAGCAGATCCACCCTGTTGAGGTCACCGGGGCAGACACAGGGTAGCAAGCCTTCCCCACAGGCCTGGTGCAGTGGTGGAGAGCCTGGCTTGCTGCACCATGCACTGCCAAGGCACCAGCCTGGCCCAGCAAAGTCAGGGGTGTGTAAGGGGAGCCACATGGAGCTGCCAGGGGGGAACAGTGTCCCCAGAAAGCCACCAACAAATGAGCTCAGCCCTACCCTCTTCCAGAGAGACACTGCTCCACCTCCCCCTGGAGTCCCAGATCCCCCCACTTCCCCGCTGTCCTGCCCTCGGGCAATTGCTGTGCAGGGAAGAAGGGCCTGGAACTGCTGCCCAGGCCTGGTGCAACCTCTGCCTGGGCATCCCCATTTGCAGCACCACATCTCTGTCTTCTTCCAGGCCTCAATTCTCCAGTCTGTAAAATGGGGTGAGAACCGCACCCACCCCGAGAGACACCCCCCCACATGGCTCGATTCCTGGGCTGTGCCCCCTGCAGTCCCCAGCTGTTCCACCCCACCATCCATCCATCCTCCTCGCTATGGAGAAGTCAGCCCTGTTTCTAGCCAGGGTTTGTCCAGCGCCCTCCTCCAGCTAGAGTCTGTCGTCCTACTTCTCTCTGCTATCTCACCCTCCTCCCAGGCAGGTGCTGGCCAGCTGGGACCATCTTGCCTCTTCACCTCCCTCCCCAAAAACACAGAGGGACAAGCTCCTAGGCGAGGCACTTGTCTGGGATGAGCCGAGGCCAGCACAGCACGCTTCAGGAAGGTTGGAGGCTGACCTTGGCCATCCCTTCTGTGATGGGCTTTCCACCCTTGCAAAGCCCAGGCTGCAGAACTGCACCCGAGCCCAGGAACTCCTGCTGTACCTAGTGCCTCATTAGGCTGATTTTAACCCTGTGCATGCGGGCAGGCCCTGGGACAGCATGAGGAAGACCCTGGGACAGCAAACCAGAGTGGAGAAGTGCAGCCTGTCCTGATGTCTTGGCTGGGCTTGGGCTGAGGGCCTTGGCAAATGCCTGTCTGCTGAAATGATTGGCAGGCCAAGCCATCGCTTCTAATAACAGCTGAACACCTGCAGGCCATAGCAGAGCTCTCCCGAGTGTCGGGCTAGCTGCACAAACAACGGCTCCGGTTGCAAGAACAACTCTTGCGCTCTTCGCACGACCTGCTCATGCTGGGCCAGGGGGTCGGGCACTGGGGAGAGGGCTCTGGCTGAGGTCTGGCCGGGGTCCTGGCCCAAGCGCTGCGTTTGAGCCTCAGACCCTCGGAGACGCTCCTCATCGCTCCTCGCCTTCTGCGTCTGCCCCTTCCCACCATCTGCAATAGCTCGGCTGTGCCCTCTGGGACAGGACCTGAACTCAGCCAAGGCCATGAAGGTGCAAACTCTCCCCAAGTAAAATTAGGGATAAAGAAAACACAGCTTGAATAATTAAGGAAAAGCCACTACCATATGCCCAGGGAAGACGGAAGATAAAAATAAAGGCTAGAAAGATGCAATCTCCTAACACTTCCCACCCTCAGCCCTGGCAAGGGCTTTCTTCTCAGTCCCCGGCTGGTTCCAGCACCGGCAGGAATTGTCTCTGTTTCTGCAGCAAACTCCTCCTGGTCCCCGGAGGTCTCAGCTTCTCTGCTGCCCTGAACAAGTGCCCCAAGGCTCCCAGCTTTTCCCCCTCCATCGCCATGCTCTGGAGCTTCACACCAGTAGACGTCAGTGGACTCACAGGCACGTGCACCTCCGGCTCCTACCTCCTCCCCCACAAACTTCCAGAAAGAGCTGGAGGTCCCTGGGCAGGCATCCTTCCAGCACCGCAGCCTCCACAGCATTTCCCCATGCTGGGGTCCCAGCCCTGCCACTTGTCCATCCCTTGGAGAGCGAATGCCCTTTGCAGCTAGGCAAGGGCTTGTCTGGGAGAGACCAAGCTGAACGCAAGGCCTGGCCATGTCGCCTCCACCTCAGTATTAACCGGGACCCATGCAGGTCCACGGCAGAGCACAGAGAACGTGACACGGCCGATGGCGCTTGTAGGAGGGACCTGGCAGTGTTGCTCTGCAGTGCCGGAGGCCTCGGACACAGGACACAGCTCAACAAAAGGGCTGCAAAGACCACAAGGCATCTCACACTGGGCAGTGTGTGCCAGGCACAGGGCATGAGCATCCTCCCTCGCTGTGCAGGCAGCTCCAAAAGCACACCCCCCCGTCAGCCGCCACAGAGCCGCTGTGCTCTTCTGGGCTCCCTTGTGACCCTGGGAAGCTGAGGGGAGGGGGTGGGCAAAACGGGTCTTGCCACGTGCTGGAGAGCAGGGGAGCATAGCCCCTCCGGCTGGGATCTAGCAGAGCCGGCCTAGTGTAATTCAAGGGGGTGGCATCAGGTCCCATCCTGACCCGCTGTGCTCTCTGGCCCTGGGAGCTTTGGGGAACATTCTTTCCAGTTGACGTGTCCCAGGGTGAGGACAAGGAGGGCGGAAAAAAAGACACTTTTCAGAACAAAAATTCTCGCAACATTAAAATAATACAATAGCTATAAACCCCGATGTGGGTTGGGGAGGGTGTGGAGAGCCAGCACCTCCCAGCTTCTCCATGCCCAGAGGGAGGATGCTGGTGTGATGCAGACCCAATGGCAGGGTCACACAACATGCTCCGGGCCCCCAGCCCAGGGCAGGAACAGCGCTCTGCAACCTCAGCCCCGCGATGGCTCACTGTGATGTCCGCGCTCTGTAACGAGCAACCACCGCAGTGAGTGGAGTCGGGGGGTGCCGTGGGGCCCAGGTGAGAGGCATCCCCAGCTGCAAGCAGCTGCAGGGAGATTTGATGCGTCTTCCACAGAGCAGCAGCCCTGGAGCTGTCCCAGGCCCACGAAACGTGCAAAGGAAGGGCACATAGCCTTGGAAACACAATGCCCATCCTTGCCTGCAGACTGACACATCACTGCCAGTCTTAGCTGGGATGGAAGAGACACGGTCACGACCACCATGAAACCAGAATGTGGCAAGATGGTCTTTGTACAACAGAGGCTGGAGAGAAGCATACCGTCATGTGCATGGTGTGGGACATGAGCTACCTGGGCCGAGGCTGCAGGCTGTATCCCAGAGATGATGCGCATACTGTCTTAGCTTTGCCATTCCCTAGCCCCAGCCCCCAGCCTCGGCTGTGGCCAACAGCCAGTGCTTCTGAGGAAGGTGAGAAAACCCCAACACCTGCAGCAACAAGCGGGGAAGCAGTTTCTTCCTGGCCTCACATGGGAACCCACAAAGCCCAGAAGTTTGGAAGAACAAAGTGCCATTCCCTTCGTATCGCAACCTGGGGATGGCAAACACAGCTCCACACGTCACACCTGACCGGCGCCAGGACTCCCCTCTCTCATCAGTGCATGAAGGGCTTGGACATGTTTAAAGCAACCTTCAAGCTA